TGGTTCTAATGGGAGAATTTCACATTTGTTTATTTGAAAGCTGTATGGTCCAGGCAGACAATCTGTCAGTTCACTAATTTAATAATGCACTTTACCTTTTGTATATAGAAGATGTACATTTATGCCACTTGACAGGTGGGATGTGTTTCAGTAACTATGTAGTTAGAATTTGTAGGATGATCTCTTGCATGTATTTGTTTGTGTGGGAACTGTTGTAGTAACAGGTTTCCATTAAATCAGTGTAATGGAGAAGGGTAGAAGATGCTTTTGAAACAAATCCCAGTACATTTAACAAAGAATTTTAAAGTAGAGTTCATATTTGTATTCTTAAGGCCTAGAATAAATTTTTAAAAAACTATTTCTAACCCAGATTAGTATTACAGTTGAAACCATATCTAGTTGAGACTTCCCATAATACCTTGAAAGTTAATTTTGGGAATTTGTCCAGACAAAAATTTTTCTAATGATTCTGTTTCATTGTTGATATATGTTTAAGTAACTAATAAAAAGACAGTACATGGTACTGTATGAGAATTAAAAGGATTGTTAGCTAATATGGCATTGTTTAAAAACACCCAGACTAAAATAATGAAGTTTCAAGTTAAGAAAATACAGAGACTAAGAACAGTTGCTAAAAAAAAATATGATATTTCAGAATTTGCAGAAATACTAACCTTCACCAACTCAAGAGGGTATTGGGGGTTTTAGTGTATCCTTCCATCCTAAAACTTCCTAAGATGTATATTTGAAAACTAGATAATTGTTGCTTAATAATAGGTTGTGTGTACTTTACTGAGAAACACTGTGTACTAACAATTCATCAAGTGTGCTATATTTACTGCATTCATTTTATATCTATAGATAAGAATACATTATATATAGTCATCCTATCTTAATAAACTCATGTATTTATATTGTAATTTTGCAAATATTTTCAGTAAAATAAACATTTATCTGAACTGTACAATTTAAAGAGGATGAAATTGGAATATACCCTCAAGACACTCATTTTTAATCAGCAGCTACCATTGAAAGCTGGTGTATGTATTATCATTTCTTTAAATTTTGATTCATGGTTTATTTTAATATTTAAGTGAATAGGACTTAATTTGAATTTTAAGTGGTTTTCTGAAAATAATTTTTTCATAAGTGTGAGATATCTTTTCCTGCTTATTTCCAAATGTCTTTCATTGGAACTATTTATGAAATCCTATTCCAAGCTTTATGTAAGGGCTTTGCTTAGTCACCACTTAGTTTGAAGTCTGTCTTTACCAATAAACACCAAACATCTTTGGCAGGATACAACAAGAATTTAATATTGATTCTATACCTACAGAATAATACAGGTACAATATTATCACTGCCAGATCAGATTTTTAAGATCTTTCTGAAGTTCCCTTAAAGATTTCTTGAATTTCCTAGAGAAATGGTGGCTAATGGCTCACCCATCAGAGGAGGAGAATAAGGATGTTAGCATGCTGTCCAGACAATCCATTGTCCACAATGCCATAGCAATAAAGTACAGGGAAAATGTGTTTTTCCCAAGTAAATGTCATGTGAAAATTGGGTTTTATATCACAGTCACTCTATCATAAAGAAAATGTACCCAAATTTATGTAGGTAGATCTTAGAAAAATATGTGTTAGTATATTTTCTCATATAAGGAAAAAAAGTCAGTCTTTGTTCTTATAATAAATATGATATATGAAATCATTTAAATTTATTTTAGTAGTGGAGTTTTAATCAATATTTTTGAATAGGGAAAAACCTACATATAGTACAAAATGTAAACAATCAGACAAGTAGACAGTGGAAAGTATCAGCCAATGTTATCAATTTCTTGTGTATACTTCTAAAGTTATTCTGCAAATACAAACATATATGTGTATATATATATTCATTTTAATGAAAACATAAACTATCCTTTACCTAGTACTATTAATTTTAGATCTGTCATTTTAAGTGATTTTTTTCCTTTTACTTAGATATAATGCTTGACCTAGTTAACATCATTTAATTTGAACTTTATTATTACATCAAGGGAACATCAAGGAAATTTTAAATGAATCCCATTGGTGTTTACTTAAAATACAAACATATGTATATATTAATTTTTTTAATGTGCAAATATTTAGTTTATCCTGCTAGTTTCTCTTCCCCACTCTTACCTTCCCATATTCCCCTCTTCCTTCCCTCAAAAAAACTGGTATTTTTCCTGAAGTAACACAGTCGAGGAGTGGCAGAATATTAGATAATTTAACCAAATGTTATTTTAGATTAACTATGTTCTCTCTAATGAAAAACACTCATTTAAAAACCTTAACAAGTTATCGCTTTCAGTCCATTTTTACTAATTCTGTTACTATTATCTTATTTTTACCCAAAGACCTCGCCATTATAAGAGCAAATGAGTATTAGAACTGTAGTGAAAGTTTATGTTATGACTCTGTTGAAATCTTTTGGTTTATTAACATGAAGCTTTTATCTTTATGATGAGAAAGGTATAAATTTCATTTAGCAACTTCATCAAATCCAAATCTAATCTAAGAGATAACACTAGTCCTGATTGTTTAAAGCATTGATTTTTCATTGAAGGACCCAGAGACTGTCAGAAGTCCTTGGGACCAAAAGCTGCTCTGATGGTTTTGGGAAAGAATGGAAATTAGGGAGCTATGAGGTTACAAGTACAGCTAAATCATCTTCATTCTCTGCTGGAAGTATATAAAATAGTAAATATAATTGTTTAAGAATGAAGTTGGCATTATTACTGTCCCTGAAAATATAAGCAAAGCTGCTTTAAAAATTCCCCAAGTCCCCTCAAAAAAAATCATAATACTGTTTACATTCCCATCAAGGTGCATTTTAAGATCACTTTTCTATTGACCATCAAGAAGAAAATTATTGTATGAAAAATTAAAGATCCCATACTTGAACCCTGAGAGATACTGTCTAGTTATAAATTAAAGCAGCCAGAGTAAAAGATACAATATAATTAGAAATATTAAAAAACATGTGGATGGAGGAAAAATTTTTTAATGGTGGGCCGGCCCGGTGGCGCACTGCTACAGTGCGCCGCTTGGGAGTGCGGTGGCGCTCCCGCCGAGGGTTTGGATCCCACGTACAGACCAGTTCCCGCTCACTGGCTGAGCATTTGGATCCCACGTACAGACCGGTTCCCGCTCACTGGCTGAGCAAGGTGCGGGAGCAACACCAAGGGTTGTGATCCCGTTGTCGGTCCCGGTCCGGTACAGGCGCAACACTGAGGGTTGCAATCCGTTGCCGGACACGAAAAAAGACAGAAAGGGAAAAAAAAAAAAAAAAGAAAAAATTTTAATGGCTTGGTATCTGTAAATTTTCTGAAAATGTTATAAGGTTTAAAAATTTAAAGCATTGATTTAAACTTTAGAATAATTTCTCCATAATTGGTAGCATAATTTTCTTTTTGTAAAATGAGAGCGGTTAGAAGACAGGATCCTCTTAAACATATTTTAAAAGCATAAAAGAGTTTGCTTTTTTATTTTAATGATGAATAACCCATTATCCTTTACAGAATCTATAAAATTGGTGATGATCTCCAGGTATTGTTTAAGCTTACAATTGTGTGTGTGTGTGTGTGTGTGTGTGTGTGTGTGTGTGTGTGTGTGTGTGTGTGTGTGTGTGTGTGTGTATTTCTCCTTTTTTAAAGACAGGGATCAAAAGGAAGGTAAATTCACCTTTAGGAATGAAGTTTGCTTAAATTTAGGCTAAAAAATACTAATAATTTTCAATCCTTAATTGAAGAGTTTCCCATATTGGTGCTTTCTAGTAAATTATATTTTCTAAATTTTACCTTCTTTTGACTATTTCTTGTGAAAAATTGCTTATTTTTGTTGAGGCCAGTGATATCCAACAGTAAATGAAAATATAATAAATTAGTGCTGCTACAGTGAAGTTATTTTGAGATATGAAGAAAATAACTTATTTAAATGGAATGTATATATAGTTTCTTCTTTAATATTGTTGACTTATTTCCAAGATTGAACAGCAGATGTCTGTCCTCTCATTTCACCCCCTTATACTTAGTTTCAGCAAGAGTTATTCTATTCAAAGTTTTCAAATTCCTAGGAAATAATAGGGATAAAAAAAAGGGAAAGTAATCCCTTTTTTTAAAAGTGTACTTAGTACTTAAAAGCTCAAAGTGTGTAAGATTGGTTAAAAAGAAAAGAAATGTTATTTGTTGGTTTTTGTCTTCATCAAGATAATGGTATAAGTCTGATAATTTTATCTTGTCTGATTAAAGTCAGAATTTTTTTATCTGAAAGTCCTGTATTCAGAAATATTTAGCATTTTATTTTTCTTAGAGAAAATGGTTCTGTAGGATAATACTCTTCTTCGGGATTTTATTTATTATTTGTTGTAGATTTGATAAGGTTATTGCCTAAAGGTAGCAAATAGAAAAGAAGAAATAGAGAAGAGAAAGGTAGTAGCTGATTATTTTGCTTGCCTGTAACAAAAGTATTCAGTCTAATAGAAATGAGAGAAATAAGTCATTCTCAAAACTAAACTCCTATTTATTTAACATTTAGAAGGGCATTTGAGAGAGAATAATAAACCTAATTCAATCAATGTATGGCATGACCTTAACTTCTGTTGGATAGTTTCCTCATATGAAAAATGAACAATGTTGTGCTAGAAGCTAAGGTTCCCTCCTATTCTAAACTTTTTAAATTCTGTATTAGTGGAGTGTGAAAGAAAAAAATACATGGAGAATATCAGAGTTGGAAAATATAGGAAATTCTCTCTTTATATTAAAAAAAAAAAAACTATAATAATGCAGCAACGTGTGATGAGACCCAAAGGAACAATGTAGAAATGTGAGTTTTATAACATGTATGTACCTGTTTAGACACACAAAATAAAATTTTGTTCCTAGTGCCTATTAAGGCCAAGTTGTTGTATACTAACAACATAACTCCCCTGTACTTTAATTTGGGGGGGGGGGTTGTGCAGTTTTTTTTTGCTGGCTGGTATAGGTATTGAACCTTGGACCTTGGCGTTAGCAGCAGCACGCTCTAACCAACTGAGCTAACCAGCCAGCCTTATACTTTAATTTTTTAAAAGAAATGTTTTTATTATCTATATGAGGTCTCATTCTTTGGAAGGAACATTGCTTGTTTCTTCATATTCAGTAATCATTTCTTATATTCTGTGTGGCAAAGGAATTTTGAAATAAACATGATTTCCTGAAATGCCATTGTTCCTGAAATAACCGTAAAATGCAATGCTAAATAATACACTGCAACTATCATTGCAGTGGTCCCTAAGAATCAAGCACTTCCTTTGATCCCTTTTTCTTTAGTCCTGTTGATTATATTCTGTTACAAATAATGACGTTTAACAAAAAACAGCAGGAATGACAGTGACCTGTGAACAGTATTGTTCTGTTTTAGAGGACCTGTAACTATGGGTGTGCAAAGATTAAATGTCCTAATGATTTGTTTTTTTAGTTTATGGTTGGTAGAGAAGAGAAGCAGCACACAAGGTTTTTGTCTTTGAGGAGTTTATTTAGGGACCCCAGCCCTCTACTATGCAGCCACCACCACTGACAGCAGAGAGGATTAAAAAAGAGTGACACCTTTCTCTCCAGACTTTTCTTTTGATGCCTATTTGTTTATCAAAGACAATGTTTAAGAGTAACCTAAGTATATTTTCAAGTGTGTATGCACGTGTGTATTTTGCTAATTTCAAAAATATCTGTGCACATAAAATTCCATCATGGAAATATTCTACATGATAAACAGTCTTTGGCCTGGTGGTAGTTCACAATGGCAATTTAGTCGGTCTATTTTCAACAATTCTGTAAAATGAATTGACTGTTGCAGAAAATTTTTTCTTTTCTCTTCTCCCTCTCCTCAAAATAGCAGATACAGTTTAGGTTCTTGATTGCTTCTTTTTCAGTGTTGTTTGAAATCTAAGTGGAACATGAGAAAATAGTTTAGGTGGGCAGTTCTTTACCCTTCTCATTTTGTAGAAATTTTCCTCAGCTTCCCATCAAACATTCGAAGCAACTTTACCAAAAGAACACACCTAAGTTAATGGACACAAAACAGCTAGATAGGAAAAATAAGTTCTATTGGTGTACAGTTGAGCTAGGCATCTATAATTAACAGTAGTTAATTATATGTTATTAAATGGCTAGAAGAAAGGTCAACTGTTAACATCACAATGAAATGATTAAGCTTTATGATAATGAATATGCTAATTACCCTGATTTGATCATCACACACTGTATACATGTATTGAAATATAACTCTGTACCCCACAAATATGTATAATCAATACAATTCAATTAAAAAAAAAAACCTAAGTGCCAAAACTACCCAGCAAAATAAAACAACAGAATCAAAAGATAATGATTTATGCTAATTACCCTGATTTGATCATCACACACTGTATACATGTATTGAAATATAACTCTGTAGCCCACAAATATGTATAATCAATACAATTCAATTAAAAAAAAAACCTAAGTGCCAAAACTACCCAGCAAAATAAAACAACAGAATCAAAAGATAATGATTTAGGAGTAAGGATAAAGATATATACAGACATCCAGGTTCAAAACACTCCTTATCATTGGCTAATTTACTTAAGATACTGATGTATTTTATTTCTAGGTTTTTCAGATTAGCAATGTTATTTATACCAATGATTTCATAATCTAGAATAGGACAAAATCTATTTCTTCTTAGTAAATACTCCAAAAAGGGTATACTGTGCTACAATAAGGAGTAAAAATAGAATTCTAAAATTCCATCAGTCATAATCGTCTTCCCTCCCATACACTGTATCATATTGGAAGTGGGTAAGGGCATTAATTTCTCTCACTACCACCATGGCCCCATTTCATCCTATGTATTTGTTCAGATGACAGTTGAAACACAACAAAGAAAGACCAGAGCTGCTCTTTGAAAATTTAGGAATTGCCCTATGAGCTAGATCTATACTAATAGGCTCTAAGAAAAAAGGGCTATTACTTCACTCATCTAATCTCAACACTTTTACTGTGTTTCCATATAACAGTTTAGGATGAGTAGTAAACAAATTTCACTTGGGATGATATGGACTGAAAGATCAGTAACTCCAATTTTTCAATACACAGTGGATCTTCAAAAAATATTTTTGACTAGCATGACTGACAGGTAATTTCAGAAATGAATTTCGCCTCTAGAAAAGTTGCACCATAACCATTTTCAAAGAGAGGGTAGTAATAAAAGCAAGAGCCAATTAAGATTTGTTAGTACTAAGAATTATTATCTATTAAATACCTACTATGTACTAGGCATTGCTAGGTCCCTTATATCTACTATTTCTAATCCTCATAACAACCCCATTATCCTCATTTTCATATAATTTTCCAGAGGTTTAGAAATTGGTTTAATATTTCAAAACTAGTATGTTGGAACCCAAATTCACACAAAAACCAGAGGTCATGCTTATTTAGTTAGACCAGGCTGCCTTATAAGACTTACTTTGAACCCAATCCACCCAACTCTAATAAAGCACAATCTATCCCTAACCTCCTCTATAAATAAATCTGCCCCAGATTACTGGGAATTATTTTATCCAAAACTATCCCCTGTATATAGGAGTAGTCTCACCAAGAGACAATTACTTACATGAAGATTCATTTAGTGGGTACAACTGGTCCTAACAAATACAACTTATTTGATCATTAGTATAATTTACAGATTGAACCTCTAATCCTGATCAACTATTTCAAATGAATGTCAGTAATTTTTAAAAGGGATCAGATGATGAGAAAGTAGATGGATCATCTCAATCCTATTCCTAAAGCAGAGAGGAGACAAATTACTATTCTGTGGTTCTACAATTTCATTTTCATAAACCAAAAACAACTGGTTAGGTTAGATTAGTTTGGAAATAAATCTCATCAATATTACTGAGAGTTTTATTGATTTCTGACAGCTTTTTCCTGACTTCTTACTGATTGCTCACAACTTGCCCTGCCATACTCTTCCTACATCATTACATTCCTTTTCATATTTAATTACCAACTTTCTTCTTTCCCTTAACTCCTGCGGGATAAACTGAGATAGCTGCCCTATTTACAGATATATATTTTTCTCCATTACTCTAGAGCAGAGGTTTTCAAATTTTAGTGTGAAGAATAATCACCTGGAAGGTTTGTTAAACTATATATCACCAGCCCCATTTCCAGAGTTTCTGTTCAGTACGACCAGTGGGGTGGGGTGAGGATCAAGAATTTGCATTTCTGACACATTCCCAGGTGAGTAGATGCTGCTAGTCCGGGCACTGCACCTTAAGAACCACTGCTCTAGGTTGATGAGATTTTATCTTAGGTACAAGATAGTGAAGGAAAAACTAGGTCAAAACAACTCTAGTAGCTTGGTTGAAAGAAGACTGAACGATACTCATTCTGCCTTGAGAAGTTTACAAATCTTAAAACAAGAAACATTTTTTTATAAATTAACTAGAGTTTTGGTAAAAAGAAAAAAAATTTTTTCCAGTTTAGCATGTTAGTCTTTTTATCACATTTTATAATCTTTCTGATTCCCTTTCATTTTTTGACAGCTATCTCAAGATAAATCTGATAGGAATTAACAATTATGAAGGCGTATATCAAAAACTTAGCTTTTAAGTGTATGGAGACTGAAGCATATTTTAATTTATTAAATAATTCTGGTTCGTACTCTTAATCAGTAAACGAAAGTGAATAATTTCTCTACTCAAGAATTAATGCAAGTTTAGTGTATTAAATATTAAGACTTGAAGGGACCTTGGAATTACTTTAGTTTAATCCCTTAATTTTACATTTTGTGACACACATGTAGCTCAAATAGTTCATAATTACTAGAATAAGGTAAGAAAACAATTTAAAAGCTGAAAATGCTCATTATCTCTCTCAAATATGTAAGTGATGAGAAATATACTAATTTATTTTAAAAGCATGCAGTATTTTTACCCTCTTCCTGTATCCTCTCAGGAAGAACTATATACTGTAGTGCATTTATGGTACTTTCTTCAGATCAACAGTTGCACACATTGCTTTAATTTTAGAGATATTTATAGACGCCCAGCTAGCTCACTCAGTAGAGCATGAGACTTAACATTTAGACATATTTCACCTGCACACTCTATGAGCATATTATTTGAAAACATAACTAACATATTTTAAAATATTTTTGTTTGCCAACCTTATGGACATTCTGTAGTATAATAATGTGTTCATCAAAATTAATAAAACCATATTTTACATATAAATCTATAAAATTAACATATATAACTACACATAAATCTCTTAAGAGATGTCATTCTAGTGGATCACATCCTATCAGAAATATGAAGTTAATTCATACATAGAGATTTGGCAATACTGCAAGTTCATTGACTTCTCTTTCCAGCTACTACCCTTCAAAGATTAGTGCAGCAGAACACTGAAAGAGTTCCTAATTGTGAAAAAGATTGCTGTCATAACAGGTAGTCACCAACTCTAAAGGATCATTATAGGCAGTGCAACTTTTTTTAAAACTCTCTATTCTGTTTGTATTATAGGCACAATGTAAATTTTACATTAAAAATATATTTCTCAAAATTATAATCTGAAGCTTCACATAGACTATAGATGTATAGTCTATTTCAGCTCAGTCTGAGGGCAAACTTCAAGAATAGTCTTACTTCCCAAATACTGGAATTATTTAAGGTAGAAACTAGACATGCACTTAATGTAGGATGCATAAAGAGAATTAATAAATGAGAAAAAAAGTTGAATTGTTATTACTTCAAAGATTCTTTTCAACTCTGAGAGACTCAGAATTTATTGGCAATAATACTTGGAACTTTTGCACTTAGGTCTTTTAATTTACCAGGTTGTGTAAAGTGTGATTTCAAATTTTTCAGTATGATTCTGAAAACATATTTAAAAACTTATCCTTTCCTCCCACCCCTCATTATTGAAAAACAACATAAGAACTAGTTTTCAAATTTTCATGAGCTTTGCTAATTAAATGAATTAATTAAAATAATTTTCATGGAATTTTCCCTGCAAAATTA